TTTATATGTTAGTCTAGTGTCAAAACTTTGGTTGAAAATAACCTGAAATTCCTTCCATAGATTTATCCCCATGACTGCACCTGCCTCCACAGCCCTTCCATCACCATCATCTTTCCACTAACATTTGTTTTTCTGGCATAATTCCTCTGAGTTACATCTTATATTTAAGTCTGACCTAGTATCATTTCAGGATACATCAAACTTTACATACTTGTTTGACCTCCTAAACCTCTCTCTCCTCTCCATCCTTCTTTCCTTGGCCCTATTTCAGGTTTTCATCATCCCTCATCTAACCTATTGCAATAAGCCCCCCTAACTGATCTCTCCGCCTTCAATATCTCTGTTTTACAAAAACACTTTACTACTCAAAGATTTCTAAGACAGATCTAAGTTTATCCTTGTCCTTCAGCAGCTCCACATCACAAACAAAATAAATTCAATGCCTTGGCCTAGCATTTCTCAGCAAACCACAACCTGAAACTTACCTGCTGTTTTTCCTTCTTCTGCCATCTTCCCACCTATCATGCCAAAAAACTAACAATTATCAGAACCTTCATGCCATGATCTTTCCTGTCTCTGACATTTGCACATGCTCTTGTTTCTACCTGAAATTCTCTTTCCCACTTTTTTCCGTCTATTGGACTCCTGCTCATCATTGAAAGCTAAACTCAAATGTCGCACCCCATTAAAGCTGACATTCTTGGTTTTTCCAGTAGCAAGATGTATTCTACCCTGCTTTTTCACAGTACTTTTTATAAATCTATTTTAGCAATTCAAACACAGCATCATAATTCTTTCATGACTTTACACTCTACCATATAGTAATTTCTTCCAAGGGCAGTAGCTATATTCATTATCTTGTTCCCAAGGCATAAAATATGTCTGATGTGTATTATGTTCTTAATTATATGTTAAATAAGTGAAAATTATTGTGGCATCCAACACACTGCAATTGGAAGCACGTGAAAAAGAGTCCTAGAACATCTCCTATAAAGAGAAATGAGAATGAATAACTTGGGTAATATAGACAGTTTCCTAAACACAAACTATGAAACACACTGAATTCAACAAGGACTGTTATTCTTTTTAGTGATTAACACTGTTACATTTAATCTCTCCTGTGTGTTTTATGAGATAATCTCATTGGGAACAGGGACTCTAAATATCTTGTTCAGCCCAATAGTACAGATGATCCAATGTCTTTTTCTTATAGACCTGCCTGGAAAATGCTTTATCATTTACTTACCATATTTAACTCTCTCTTCCCTGAATGGTAGTTATTTTTGTGAATATCCCCTCAACTAGGTTATAAGGTACTTCAGGTGAGGAAGAGTCTAAACACCTTTCTTCCCAAAAGAGTGCCTTGTACATGGTAGGTATTCAATAAACACTTGATGAATGATTTAGAAAATATTCATTCAGGAAATAGCAAGAGATTCTGAAAGTGATAACTTCTGAAGGTTATGTTTTCTATCCTGAACTAAAAGGCTTTGCCTTGCAATACTAACTTAGTATTAAACTCTTTATGGCAAGCACACATTAGTAAGTATAGGTCAGACCATAAAGCAAAGGGTTGACAATTTAGGTATCCAGGAGCGGAACACGCCTATGTCAAAAGCCACACTGTGTATGTGAGGTTGTAATATTTTCTACCTGTGAAGCCAATGCTATAAATTACTTTACCTGGTGCTGTTAGGTTGACAGTATTTATATATTTCACATTATCTCCCCTCAAAATGGCTTATACCTGAGAGATTGTGAATGGAGTACAATAAGGGGGATTGGAATTGAGTTTTTTGAGCAAAGTTAACAGGTTAGTGTGAGAACTGAACTCTACGATCAAGGTCTCATTAGCTTAGTCAACTATTGGTAGCCCTGTCCATCTTCATCAGATACAGTTTTCTCATGTTAAGTTTCAGAAGTCAATAGCAGAGAATACATACATAAATACATAAATAAAGAAGTCTTGAAGACAAATAGACTTGAATAGAAGGTCAAAATTAAGAAGGAGTTTGGGGATATCCAGAAACACTGGCAGAGGCTAAAATAATAGGTCCCCAGAATGGCGACCACCTAGCATTTAGGACTGTGCCTGGGGAATTCTCACATTTAATTTACAGAGTGAAAAGTTTCTGAAGAGGAGCCACGGGAGACCAAACATTTTAAAGGAATTGGAAAATTAGAGGGAAATTGAGAAATCTGGGAGCAAAGGGGGCTTAAAAGTGTTTACTTAGCTCCCATCTGTACATCCACTCAGGTAGGCATTTTAGATAGAGGGGTAACAAGGCAGCTTTGATCTCTGCTCTCTTAAAGCATATAGTCTGATATCTCTGAACAGTTTAGAAGGATGAGAGCTAAGAAGGAGCTATAGTTTGGCTCCAAAGTGATCTCTAGTTTTTCTAAGGTCACTATGATCACTGGATCATTTTGGTCATTTTCTTTAAGGGGGGAGGAAGACGGAGGTGATATTCAAGTAAGAAAAGGTAATGGGGGCCTAAAATTTAAACCTATTAAGATGTTTGCACATAAAAAGTGAAAGGCAAACTAAAATGGCTTTTGGAAGTGATGCTGTTCTATCCAGGTAAGAGTATGAGTCATGTTTCAGGAGGTAAGAAGCCAGAGGAAATGAAGAGATAAGAGAGATGAACTGGACACTTCTGCAAGTCTGGGATCCCTCCTCAGATAGGGAATTGGTTGAATTTTTCAGAATTTTTTTTTAGCAGATTCACATTTGCAAGAGAAGAATTGTCTTATTGACAGTGGTTCCCAGCTAGGACTGTATATTAGAATCTCCAGGGAAGCTTTAAAATGAAAAAATAAAAGTACAAAAATTGCTGACTCTGGGAGCTCCACCAAAGATTCTGATTTAATTAGCCTGGGCTGGCAACAGCATTTAATTTAATTAATTATTTTTTTTTTTGCAGTTAGCTAGTACAGGGATCCAAACCCTTGACTTGGTGTTGTAACACTGCACTCTAACCAACTGAGCTAAATGGCCAGCCCATTGGCAGCAGCAGTTTTAAAAGCTGCCCAAGTTTATTAAGTTCAGAAAGAGTCGAGAAGTAACCACTGGGCTAGATTTTAAATGATAGAGAGGGGGGCGGGAAAGAGGGGGGAGAGAGAGAGAGAGAGAGAGATGGGGGAGGAGGAGGGGAAAATTGAGTAAGTCACCTTCTACTTTTTTTTCCCCTCAGAATTAGGCAGTGTTTTCCAAAAGTATGACATAACCACAGGTGGCTCTTGAGATGGTACTTGATTTGATCACACACAGAGATGTCTTTTTTGCATACATATACATATATGTGTAAATATGCTTGTATTTACACAGATATGTAAATACAAACGTGTAAAGATATATATTGTAAAAATATATATTTACACATACATTTGTAAATATATATTTGAATAAATATTAGAAAAATATAACTAGAATATCAAATTTGAGATTTCATTTATATTATTACTTAGAATGAGGCTAAGGTAGGTACTGAAGTTTAGAAAGTAAGTCTAAGTGAACTTAGTAAATTCTAGTACAGGTGGAACACGGATATGCATATGGCAAAAAACTTCGAAAAGAAGTAGGCAAACAACTGGAGCTTGGGGAACACAGAACTAACATAGTGCAGAACCAACGAAAACTTTCTTCCCAGATCTTACTGTGCTAAACAAACATGTCTCCCACGGCAATGCGGCCAGCCCAATGCCATCTTCTCTGCCCTTCTCATATGGATGCCCAGCCTCATCAGAAACATTAAGATGCTTTTTCATTGGGCTCAAACTCAAACCAGCCTCCTCTAGCCTCTCAGTCACCATGTGATTACTGATGTCATAGCCTGTAACTCATTTGTGTCTCCTCTTTCAGATTCAAATCTGAGCTAAACTTAGGGTCGCTTGGCCACCTTAGCATAATAGGGCAGAAAACCAATGCTCACACGGCGTTCCAGCCCCAAAAGCACAAAAATGAAACCCAAGCAACCCAAATCCAGGTTATGGAAACTCAAAGGAGCGAGGGAAGAGATGAAAGCCCCAAACTAAGCAAACAAAACCAGCCTGCAGGAAAGGCACAACTCGCTAACATTTCGCTCTTTATTTGACATTCTCAGGGCATGATGCAACCTCGGGTTGCCCAATTTATATTTGCAAATTTTCCCCTTGTCCACCACGAGCTTCGGAAGCTGCCAACTCCATAAAATTCCTTTTAAAAAGTTCAAGTATCTAGCCTAAGAAGGTTGAACGACAGGTCAGGTGACCCTACCTTTACTTGGGTCCAACAAAAGAAGGTTTGGAGTTGTGCAGGTAGACTAGGGAGAGCGTGCGAAGACAGGCAGAGAAAAACGTGACAGCGACGTTTCCACCTTTCCCCTACCGTTCTTACACCCATTGGTTAGAATCTGCCAAAGGCACTATACATACCTCACCTTTCCCCTGCCCTGCCTCCTGAGCCCTGCTCCTCTCCCCAATCCAAAGGGCACTAATGATGGCAAGGGTGACGGGAGTGGGAAACATGCCCAGGTCTTCCACCCTCTTCCTCTTCCTGCTGCCTCCCGCCCCCGCTTTCCGCATGGTGGCAGCCTCCTGGTCACCCAGTCCTCGGCGACACCTTTACACCACCCAACAAGATGGCAGGTTAGCAACAGGCGAGGCCCGGAGCGCCGGCTCTTGCTCCAGCCGAGCGCGGCCCCCGGCCAAGCCCTGAGTCTCGGACGGCTCCTCCAGTACCCAAACACCCCTCTTCCCGCAGAGTCCCCGGTCCCCCGCCCTGCCGGGCCACCTGCTCGTTCTCTCGGGGCCATTTCCGTCGCCGGCGAGGGAGCAGGTGCCAGCGTAACAGGTGCCAGGCGAAAGGGCCCGGGCGGCCGCGCGGGGCACGGAGGGGACTGCGGGAAGGGGCGCAGGAAAAGGCCACGTCGGAGGGAAGGAGGCTGGGGGCGGACGCAGAGGGAGACCCCCGGGGTGAGGATGCCGCTGACGGTCCTCGCTTCCAAGGCTGCCCCACTTACGATCTCCAGGCAGACGAAGGCGCCGGAGTAGGTCCGCAGGATGTCGGGGCCGGCGGGCAGGGTGA